ACAACACTTATGCAAAGGAACCCTCGGAACATTCTCTTCTTTACAACGGTGAGACCCTCGACCACCCGCGCGCGCGCCGGCGTGGCGGCGATGGCATTGGACGGCCACGCTGGCCAGCTGGGACCCACGCTGGCCCCATTAACGGGCCGACACCCATCTACAACCCTAGCGCCTACTCTAGCCTAGGCTACAGGAGCGGTAGAGCTCGCAGAAATGCAACCACGGCGCGCGGCCATGCACACAGTGGCGCGACCACGCCGGCCATCCTAAGCCACCGCGGGATGAACTAGCTACCATAAAGCATCACTAAAGTACCCTGGTTACGGCTGTGGTGGTGGTTAGGCCAGAGGTTCCCTGAACAGGGCTGGCCACGTGCGAGCAGTGGGATGCGGCGATGCTCCGAGATGGCACGGTCATGTCAGTGGCTACGGCGAGGCGGTAGAGGTGCAAGTAAGGTGCGCAGGGTGAAGTGGAGGTGAAAGCGGAGCTCGTGGTGAAGATGGATTGACGAGGGGTGATGCGGCAGGTGGCTGCCCTCGGCCACGGCCGATTCTGGCCTTAATGGCATGACGGAGGGGGAACTTCCAAATTGGAGTTCGTCGTGGCTCAATTCAAAGCGGGGTGGGTACGGTTGGCACGCGGACATCCAGGCGCAAACACGGGCACACGGAATTGAAGGCGAGCGCCTGCGCCCTGACACACCATGGCCGTGATGCGACGGCGAAAACAGAGGCGGTCGACGCACAGAGGCGGGCAAGGGAGAAACAAGGGATGGGAGGCGGTGAGGACGTGGTGGGTAGCTGGCGAGTGCACCTTGGCACGATGCGGCTGGCGTAACCAATGCGGCCCACGGCCGGTGCTAGCCGACGGCACACGCATGAGATCATCATGGCCTGCACGTCGCAGTGCCATAAATGGCATGCCGACGGCGGTCCAGCCCCGCGTGCACAACGCCCAGGCAAACCAGAGATGCAACGCGGTGCAGCGACAGGCGAGAGCGGGATGGTGACACGACGGCAGCGGCAACCGGCGGTGGGGTAACGAGTTGGCTTGTAGCGCAGTTGATGGACGGGGCGGTGGCGGCGTGAGAGGCGCGACGACACGCGACGGCAGCGGCGCGGCCACGGGGGCAGCCGCCGCCAGAAATGCCGACCACAATGACCACCAAACACGCCCATCGCGCATGCGCTTGCAGCGTCAATGGCGCCAACGCCATGGCATTGTAGGCGTGGTGACCACGCCTACGCGAGGAAAACGACCGAGACCGTGCCATGCACGCTTTTTAAAGCTTCCCAATCAACTAATCGGTTTGCCAAACACCCAAACCATCTTTGCTATACCTAAGAGGGTATATTAGGCTACTAAAACAAGTCATAATGCAACACCACTTCTTAACCCAATTCCTCTACAAAAATTACCAAACATAGCTTTGTCAACCTATTTTCCGACTTAAGAAATCGACTAAGTCTTGAGTTGGATTTGCGTCAAATTTGATTTTCAAGCCATTAGATATGTTAGCTAGTGATATCATTTTTCGACCACAGGTATTTCGTCGTCATCTACAAAGTTTGTACTTCAAACTTTATTCAAGTATCACATATATGTTCTATAGCATTTTTGCTTAATAAAAAATAGTTTTAAACCCTAAGTGATATAACATGACTATGGAATTAACTTTCGTTATGCATTTCTGTTGATCGTTTTGAGTATGGAATTCACTTTCCATATCCCCATTCCTTGAACCCAACATTTCAGAAACCTGGTTGCTAAGTGCTAAGGTTCATGGCCCTTCTCAGTTTCACCTACACGGACATTGTGCTAGAGAGAATGACAAGAAGGAAGGCTCCATGTACGTAGTCTTGCTTATGGTGGCGGGCATGATTCGATGAGGAGATGTTGAAGCTGATATATGCTAACAAAATGTGGGAGCAGTTTGATGTCGGCTTGGTGAAAACCATCATCACACTCACCAAGGAGGGTGAGCTCAAGTTCAAGGAGAGCTGACTGTGAAGGTCATACAGGCCCCTGCCAGTGGTTGGATCCACATGTGGTGCAAGGAGGATGGGCGTCGATGAAGGGTGGGTTTCGGGCTCGCTCTTCCAATGGATTAGGCCAGGGCGAGTGCCCCCATGGCATGGTGGCACAAGCTCTCTGTGGTGACGGCAACGGAGAGAGACGAGCGAGAGAACAAGAGTTCGCCAGGGTAGACAGGTGATGGCTCAGAAGGGTGAAAGAGGCAGATCACGTATGATAATGTTTGTGAAAATGATTAAATGTTTTATAAATTTATAAAAGTCATTCTAGAGTCTCTACTACGTTTCATAATTCTATTTTGGCAGAATAATAGTTGTAGCATAGCCCACGTTTCATAACAGTAAACTTCCGATTTAGTTAGAGAGATACATATCATTATATCAAGAAGAAAAATGATTGACTCGTTCAACTTGGACACTTACACTACCACTCCCTTAAAAAGAAAACTCAACATTTTCTACAAGAAACCCGACCTTTACCACGGAATTAACCCAATTAAACAACTTCATGTGATAGAGCAACTAATTAAGAAGGATATTCTTTCGGCCTAGCCAGCCCCCAAAGGCCCATCTCATCAATAACAAACAACAAGTTTTTTGCAATATTATGTGACGCCCCATCAAAGACAAAACGATTTTGGTGAGTCCAGATGTACCTTGCATCGAGAATCATGACAGACCTTGCCTCCTCTGTCCATCTAGCATATCACTTACTCTAGAGACCACCGTCCATCAAAGAAAGCTTTCCTTGCTCTAAGGCTTTTCCCAGTGCACGAGCATGAAGTGTTGCCCCAAATTCCACATCCGCAGATCCCTCCATGTCACGGTAAACTATAGCTCCATAGGGTGTCAGAGTCTCTTGCAGAAGGAGAAACAACTTCATCTGACAAAAGTTGTAGGCAACAATCGGAGAGCACGTTGTGCGTTAGGAAGATACTTTGCAGACCAAGTTTGTAGAGCATCATCGCAGTCATGTGAAGAAAGTAATGAGGTAGAGAGATGTAGAGAAAAGTACCTGAACCAGATCCTAGTATTGTAGTAGGAGGTGGAGTGGAATTTGGAAGTCTGCGTTGAGAGACTAGGAGCCCTAGCCCTTTCGCGCCTATGCGTAATGCTACTTTAGGTTTAAGATTTTATATGTATTGCCTTTATGGTACTCATTCAAGTGTCTTAAGTGTAATGCCACACGATATCTCTTTGACGAGTTTACTTTTGTCGGGGCTTGATCATTTATAGAGAATGACTCTGTCGTAAAACCCTAGAAGCGAAATTAATTGTCTGTTTTTTGTCGGGGCTTGATCAATTATAGAGAATGTTGTACTCTGTCGTAAAACCCTAGAAGCAAAATTGTCTATTTTTGTCGGGATTGACATATTGAAAGCTTTAGCATTACCTTGCAAGTCACGACACCCAGAGATGATGCTATCACAAGATCCTATAAGTTAGGTTATATAATGCATGCGGGATATTATGTTGCAAACAACCCGACAACATATTTAATAGTAGTGACGTTATCTTAAGATCCTAAAAGTTAGGTTATATAATGCGCACAAGGTTTTACATTACGAATAACCTGACAACTTATTTAGGAATGATGACACCATGGTAAGATCCTATAACAGTTAGGTTATATAGTGCACACAAGATGTTACTCTACAAACAACGCGACAATTTTATTTATTTGACAATGATGATAGTATCATAAAACCTAAATAAAAGTGAAAAATGTTTCCTATATCTTCCCCTGTCCCCTAAGTTTAGCATATGCAATTTACTATATGTTTCTTTCATTAGGGTTATGCGTGAGTCTCCATATTCTTCTAAGTTATTGGTATCTGCAAGCCATTGCATTGGCTCACTATTTCTATTGAAGCATAAACCTTTTTTTTTGAGAGAAACAGGAGGGGTTTAAGCCCCTACTGCAGATTTATTAATTAAGAAAATGAAGTTTGTACAACTAAGAGCAGCGGAGATTTATTGAAGCATAAACCTAAGACATGTATTCCTTTCTAGATGTTGCAACCGGTCTCATTCTTCCACATGGCTTGTGTACGTGGTATTCTTCATGACCATTGGGTTGAAGGGTTGAAGCTAGCCCAGCCTGATTCACAAGTTGATCTTTATGTTTGCTCTAGTTTCTTTTGTTATGTGTTATAGCGTGGGTGTTCATATCAGTGGGCAATAGTGGTTGTACTCCTAATTCCTAAACCTCATTTAATTTGGTCCCAATAGTGTCTCATGGTGTCACTAGCACTACTAGTACCTAATATGCTACCTGCCTTTCAATTCTCAGGTCTTTGTGGCACCGTGATTGGTTCTGAACTCTGTACCCTGAAAATCAGAACAGCCAGAACGATCGATCACCTGAGCAGCAAATCGATGTGAAACTGTGCCTGACAAACTAAAGGCGTGCAGTGTATACATCTTCAACACCAACAGGAAATTGCATGGCCTGAGTAGTGAGCACGGAACACTGTCTCAGTTCCTGGTTTTAAACCAATGTCGTTTTATCATAGACACAAATAGCTTGACCTATCTCAAACAGCTATAGCAGCAGCTTATTAGCCGGAGACCTTGTTTTTAACACTACTTCAACAGCAGTGGTTCTTAGGTTTCTTCTGCTGGAGAGCAGATCGTATCATGACAAGAAGATGATATACAGCGCTCGCCGTTGCTTAAAAAGTCATTCATCACTCATCAGGCACATAGAACACCGATCTTAGCTTCAGAATGTATTATTAGGGGAAACGCTTCCATTCTACACCGGAAAGAAACATTGGCAGATCTTACAGCCAACTCATGCACACTCGAAATCGACGAGAAACTACTCAGAATAATACTAGTACTCCATGATATCTGCGCAAATTTCTTTCTAGTGAACGAAGCAGACACACACACTACGTGAGCCTTGAGATCTCTGCTGCCCTCAGCAAGGCATGCACGATCTCCAAGAACCCACCGGCCGCGTCACGGGGACCCGAGGCGGCGGCCGACGATGGCGCGGGTGCGGCGGCGGCCCGAGACCGACTCCGCCGCCGACGGCTTCTCGTGGTTCACCTCAGAGTTCCACTTGTTGGACGGCCCGGACGGAGGGATGGGGATGAGGACCCGCTTGCTCACCGCCACCGCCGCGGACAACGGTTGCTGAGGATGCTGGCTGATGATTGCAGCCTCCCGCGCTGGAGGAGGAGCAGCAGCTGCTGCAGCTCCAATGGCCGGGCCGCCGCCGCCGGCTTGCCCTCCACGGCCGTGATCCTGGTCAGCCAGCACCAGGAAGGCCAGGCCGGCGACGAGGACGATCTGGCCAAGCGAGGCCATGAGAGCTAGCAGTGAGCACGCGATCGAGCTGCAGCTAGCCGCGTGCAGGAGACGACGACGACGAAGCACCCAGCTAGAGAAGGCAGTGATGAACTGACTGACGACGCGGCTAGGCTTCCAGCAGCGAACCCCTTATAAGGAGGGCGCGGCAGCCATAGCATTTACTCCGATCTTGGATTCTTTCTCCGGGGAGACGATCTGAGATCGAAGGCTCAGCTCCGTCCATCATCTATCGCCACCAGATCGAGCACAGCTGCATGATCAAATAGGTTTCAGGACAGGACGAAACGTACGGCTGGCAGCCGTTGACTGACGCCATGCAAGGCTGCCATCAAATTTAAGCACTCTCAACTCTCGATCAAGGTCAGCAGTTGAGCACTGGAGATGATCATCTTTACATTGATTGCAGTAGTGACTGACAGCCGGGGAAGATGTTAGATAGTACTCGATCTATCCCAAATTGCAAGACGTCTAACTTTTTTGACACTAAGTTTGAACACTCGTCTTATTCAAAAATTTGTGTAAAATATTACTTCTTTCGTCGTGGTTTGGTTTATTAATAAAAATTCTTCAAGAATAACTTAAATTTAACTATATTTGTATAATTTTTTTTAATAAAACGAGTGGTCAAACTTGAAGACAAAAAAGTCAAACGTCTTACAATTTAGGATGGAGGAAGTACTATGCAACAAGAGATGTAGTTGACGACGATGATCATGTGATGTTTGGCTGCTTGCATAAGCATAGCGTATCATCATCAAAATTGACTTGAGTTGGATCATTCATCGTTCATCATTAATTCATGGAGGATCGAACGAGGATGGCTGTTGAACCAGTAGAGATTAATTGTTGGCGATATATAGCATTCAATTGCAACAAACTTGCTGCTTGGCAGCTACTGCATATTTTTCCTTAGCATCTTTTCAAAATATACTGCAAAGGAAACTTTGACCTGCGTAGCTTTGAAAACATTTGACATGGTGTAGCTTTGAAAAAACTAACTTTGACCTCAGCAGAAGAAAGAGGTAATCTAAACTAAATAACTACTAAACTTGAGTTTCTCCCCTACAATCTATAGCTCGTAATGTGGTCCCCTGTTTTAGATATATACATATGTTAGGCCTCAGCTTCACTCGTGAAGTTATTTTTTTGGAAAATAGCTTTACAACTAGCTTTTTTTGGTGAAGCTGAGCTATTTTTGTCATCTTGTTTGACAAAATAGCTTCACATGAGGGAACAAAGGAAAAAATGACTAAAATACCCTTTTCTTTTTTTTTTTTTTCTCTCCTTTTTCTTCTCCACGGTCTCCACTCGTTCTTCCCCACGTCGTTCCGTTCACCTGCCCTTAAAATCAGCCGGAATTCATTGTTTAGGGCTGAAAAACATTGTTCATCCTCACACAAATTCCTCCAAATGTATTCAAGTTCCTCCAAATTCCTCACAGCGAACAGGGCCTGTGGCAAAATAGCACACGCCGACGCCTTGACGCCCATTGGCCTGGCCGGCTACTTTGTCGCGCGCGCCTGGCCGCGGTCGCGCTTCAGCGCCCAAGCCCAGCCGCTCGCCAGCGGCTGGGTGGCCCGCATGGCTTTCGGCGGCGCGCCCGCGCCTCGGACGCGCACGCGCGCTCGCTGCCGCCACCTCCATCCTTGCATTTCTCTGCTCTTGCTGAGCCCGGCGGCCGTGCCGCTCGAGCCCACACTACCGGCGAGGGCCGCGCTCGAGACTGGCAAGGCTCGTGCCCGCGGCCAGAGAGGACGGAGCCCGTGCTCTCGACGGGGGCCGCGCCCGCCGGCCGACGGCGATGATGGAGCTCGCCATCCCGGTGGCCGATGACGACGGAACCCACGCTCCTGGCAGGGGCCGCGCCTGCCCGCAGCCGGCGATGACGGAACCTGCCCTCCACGGCGGTGCCTCCCGGTCGCGCGCCCAGACGGCGGTCCTCGCGCCCACGACAATCCCAAAGGGCACAGGCATGTCTCCACACCACCCCCTCACCCCCACTTCTGGGAGAAAAAGCTAGGATAAGCTATTTTTTTCCAGCTTCGTCGTAACTCATCCTTTTATGAGAGGAGAGAAAAAATAACTTCACCCGTGAAGCTATTTTAGAAATGGGTATTTGGCAAAAAAAAAACAGGTCACAATAGCTCACGAAGCTATTGTGAGCTGTGTCCAAACAGAGCGTTATTGTTGACTCTTTTGGTCAGACTTTGACGGACAAAATATATATTCAACTCCTTAGTATGTAGTACATCTGTCATAAAAATATACTTATTTATTAGACATGCATGTTTGTCTATTTACACAAATAATTATCAGAAAAAGATGAATGGTTAAAATATGAGAAAAGTCAATGATGTTGTATGTTAAGGAGCCCTCTCTATTCTAAATTATAAGACGCTTTGATCTTTTTACATACTGTCGCTTATGCTATGTATCTAAACATAATATATATTTAAGTACATAGCAAAGATACGTATATATTTATAAAAGTCAAAACGTCTTATAATTTGGAACGGTGAGAGTAGCATAAGCTGGTCATCATAGTGCATTGCATCATTCATGAGTCGAGTATGGTTGTTGAACCAGTGCATTCAATTCAATTGCAGCAAACTCATTTTGTCAGTTACAGCAATTTCCCTAAGGCTTGATTTCCTTGGTCTGGCTATTTTTCTTGGTATCTTTTCAAATTATAAAGGCACCAACATTATTTGACAGTGTGCAGTTTTGAAAACTAACTTTGATGTTTGATCCTAAAAGAAGAAAAGAGATAAACTAAAATTCAACAGTTTCTCACCTGCTATTTATAGCTCGCAATATAGCCACCATTTTTAAATTTATGTTACCATTGCTCAGACTTTGATTGGCAATATTTATTCATTTTCTAAGTTAAATATATTTATAGATCTGTCATAAAGAATATTATGCTTGTATATTTACACATATATATTTTTTAAAAGACTCATAGTCAAATGCATTAAAAAGGTAAAAAATGTTGTGTTTTTAATTTTAAAAATGGAGGGAGTATAAACATCCCATAAAGCAGGTCATCATATTGCATTGGATTATTCATTCATGGAGGGCCGTTGAACCAGTGGAGATTATTGACGCTGGCATTCGATTGCAACAATGTTTGTCTTGGCAGTTACTGCAATTTTCCCAAGACTTGGTTCCTTAGCTTGGCTATTTTCCTTGGTTTCTTTCCAAAATATAAGGCGTCATTTGATGACAATGGTGTACTTCCTTAAAACTAGCTTTCATCATAGCTAGCAAAACAAAAGATAAACTAGACTCTTTAATAGTTTCTTGCCTGCAATCTATGGCTCCTAAATATAATTCCTCTATATTTAAATATATGTTACCTTTGACTCTTTGCTCAAACTTTGATCTAGTATTTATTTCATTCCTTAGTTAAGTACAATGCCTTGTATGTTTGTCTATTTGTACAGATATTTTTAGGAAAGACAAATAGTCACACCAATGAAAAAAGTCATGGTGTCATAAGGGACCAATCTAGGCCAGATGATCACCAATTATACATTTAAAAATAGGTGGGGTCAACTATTCCCTCCGTCCCAAAAAAATGTAAATCTCGTCTCCCCTGAAGTAAAAGAATCTCAAGTTTGACTATATTTATAGAAAAAATATGAACATTTATATTTTCAAATATATTTATTATGAAAATATATATTTCATGTTCAGTCTAATGTACTTAGCACGTATAATAAATATTATTATTTTTTATATATTTGGTCAAACTTGATATTATTTGACTTGTCACGAAGCGAGAGTTACATTCTTTTTTGGGGTGAGGGAGTATTAGCACTATATACTGTAATCTTTTGTTGAAATTTTCAAAATTCGTCGGCTGACCAAGTGGCAATAGCTGTAGCCGCAGATTTCAAGAGTATTGTTCCTTCTTTGATCATGATTAGTGGATATTATTACTTGCTGCTCAAAGATTGCAAATGTGTATGATGAATAACCTTGAAATGCATATGCATCTTACTACCTCCGTCCATAAAAAAGAATGGAATTATGAGAACCGTGCCGGTCAAATTAACTTAAGTTTTGACCAAGCTTATAGTAAATAGTATTAGTATTTATGTCTCTAAATAAATTTATTATAAAAATATATTCCATAACTAATCTAATGATAGTTATTTTGTCTCATGAGTATTAATACTTTTTTCATATAATTTTAATCCAAGTTTAAACTGTTTGACTCCTCGAAATATGATAATTGCATTTTTTTTTCATGGACGGAGGGAGTACAAAACGAAGGACACCGAGGGTGTACTTACTCTATGTTTAGAAATCATTATTGTTTGAAATAGACACATATTTGGAAGAAATTATGCCATATTCCTCCATGCCATTCCCTTTAATATTTTTTGAAAAAAAAACAAACGAATGGCCCATGATCCATGGATAGCTGGCTAGCATATGTTGGAGACAATACACAATCAAACACAAGATTTGCTTGGTTACACTGATGCTGGTCACTGTAGCGCAAGATGACACGAGATGATGTCACAACTGAGAGAGGTATTTCTCTTTCTGAATTCTAATGCATGTCTTTGTTCTCATCAAGAATACAAAACTCCGAATTGAAGATGATGCAGATGGAGGAGATCATGCGATCCACGAACCACGATCGATGGTGACACAAAAAAACATCGTGTACGAACAAGTATATATATATATATATATATATATATATATAACTGAAAGCATAGTACGTGTACAAACAAGTATATAAAAAACTAAAAGATAAGATAGCCCACAGTAAGTCAGGAGGTAAGCTGCACGCCGATTGCCTTTTGCAGGTGTGACCAAGGCAGATGATATCTGAATCCTCATTCAACTCTACAACCCTAAGGTTAACCCCGGCAGGCCAGATGGGCCACGTCACCCTGAAATCCTTCAGCCGTTCGATTCTACGATCGACGCTCCATATTCACTCCACCGATCGCTACAGTGCAGAGCCCCCTCCATGA